ACTTTTATTTTGATCATAATTTGTACTTTACCACTCTTGTGGTAAAGAATGTATAAAGGTGTGAGTTGCCTCTTACCAGAGGTCATCACGACCAAACCTTTTGTCAAATGAGACACAGTGAACTTTGCTAGTAAGTCTAGCCACATAACATTAAAATACTGATTTTTCAGCGAGTGTGGACTTAAAGGCACTGTCTTCCATGTGGGGGTATGAATAATTGAAAATATATTGGCTGAAAGTTGTACTCAGAGGGATAGGTAGGATAAAATGTCTGATGTTGTTAGAAAATCAGAGTATGACTGAGAGAAAACGACTGGGCAAAATTAAGTATAGCAATCACCTACAGTTGGGTGTGGTGGTGCGTGCCTGCAGAGGCAGGCAGATCTCCGTGAGTTTGAGGCCAGCCTAGTCTACAGAGTGAGTCCAGGACAGCCAGGGCTACACAGAGAAATCCTGTCTCGAAAACAAACAAATAAAATAAATAAATTTATAAACAAACAAACAAACAAGCAAATAAAAGAAAGAATCCCCTAGGGTTCTTGGGGAAGTTCAGAAACACGGAAAACCAAGAGGAGCAATAGCAGTTGTAAAACTGCTAAGAGCATCCATGAGAGAAGAGCCTCTGCTCTGAGGATAAGTTGTGGAGTTGTGGAGGAAGCAGCTCACAGGGGTATTGAGATGACAAATCCGATGCCGACGCAGAATACAAACATGACAGCTCAGATAGTATTGGGACATTGCAGGAGGAGGGCTTTCTGAAGTTGGGACCACTAAGTTTAAGACGGAATTTCATTACCAGCTGACTTGGCAGTGAATTGGGAGTAACAATCTGTTAAAATGGACTTTAATAAATTAAGAAGAATAAGACTGGTTTAAGTAACTAAGACTGCATTCTGGTTCCTCTGTACTTGTGCTTTGAAACATCTTAACTGCAGAACGGTGTTACGCTGACACCAAGGGATGACCCACCTGGCTGAGTTAAAAGCACCTACAAGGGCCAAACAAGGCGGCCAGAGAAAAAGGCACCTGCAGGGCAAGGAAGGAAAGGGCTCCTGACCCACAGAATTACAGGAAGATTCCCTGGTCATTTCTGTCCCAGGGATTAAGGAGCATTATTTGGAGATCTGAAATGTTCTTACTGCACTTCAAATCATATTGTGTCCAGTCTTGATAATGAACTAATATAGGTCAGGATTTTTTTTAATTGCTCTTAGAAAACAAATGAATAAATGAAACACAAGGCAGATTGTTAACATACAAATTTCCTTCAATGGAATTTCCCTTATCTGAGTAGTTATGTCAACAGAACATGTGACTAAAATGTATCTATTTTTCCATCATAATTGGTTCACTCTTCCCTGCAGGCAAAGGCTTGTGTTACATTTTAGATTTAATGTTCAATAATATGTTTCTGACTGTTTCTGGTTCAAGTCATTTATAACATCTTTTGTTTGGAATTAGATAAAACTCCAAATATTTTTTTCTGAGAGTCTCTTCTGCCTAAAAGCTAATTCTATTGTAAAACAAGACTTCTGCTTTCGATACGGTTAGGATTTTTTTTCTTTCTTGTTTTTAAAACAAAGATGCTAATTGGTTCCAGTGACTCAAGGATGTAGTAAAAATGATTTTGGGTTCCAGAAAATATTTGGAGGTTTATAAAAATCAGGTGAGGGGTGGTAGAATTCATAGGAGGGCCTGGCAGTACCCTTCCGATTTTTTATTCAGAGCCTTGTGTGTTGTGATGGGATAAAAACACACACACACACACACACACACACACACAAAAAAAAAAAACAAAACTGGGGCAAACAAAAGAAAAAGAGATGGCCTGTAATTTAGGTGCTAAGTTGAGAATTTCGTAAGTGTCTATGTGGCACTGAAACTGTAGTCAGAATTCGATGTTGGCAGTCGGCAGGGAGCAGGTAGGCTGGGAGATCATGAAGGATTTGATGTGTTTGCTGAGAAGGAAACAACCATATTAAAAATGACCACACTTTGTCTTACTTGGTGCCTTGCCTCACTCTTGACTTCACATTGTTTCCTCTACAGCTTCCCATCACAGTATTAGTAACAGCCCATGTTATGTTCAAAAATTATTGAAGAGTCACAGTGTGTTGGCTAGTTTTATGTCAACATGACATACAGTTATTTGAAAGGAAGGGACCTTAATTAGGAGATCTGGCTGTAAGCAGACAAGCCTGCAGGGCATTTTCTTAATTAGTGATTGACAGTGGAGGGCTCAGCCCATTGTGGGTGGAGCCACCCCTAGGCCTTGGTTCTTTAAGAAAGCAATCTGAGCGAGCCAGTTAGCAGCATTCTTCCTCATGGCCTCTGCTCAGCTCCTGCCTCCAGGTTCCTGCCCTGTCTGAACTCCTGTCCTGACCTCCTTTGATGATGAATAGTGATGAGAAAGCAGAAGCCAAATAAACTCTTTTCTTCTCAAGTTGCTTTGGTCATGATGTTGCATCAGAGCAGTAGAAACCCTAACTAGGACATAGTAATGCTCAAGTCTCCCTATTGTCAATGGAAACTAGGTGGAAATTCATACCTCTCTCTTTCATCTTGTGTCCAGAACACAGATGCACCTATGCCTATGATGTTCAGGATTTACACAGTCCATGGAGATGCCCATCCCCCCACCCCACTGAGATGTCCTATTTGTTCATCTGCAAATGATTCCTGTCCTGTGGAAAAGACCTGTTGAGATACCCCGTTCTCTCCACTGCACATATTTGGAGTACCATGTGTCACCAACTTCTAAAAATGACAAACTCCCAATTTGTATTTAAGCAATTTATGAAAACAAAAACAAAAACCACACAGTCATTCTTCATACTCAAGTATATGGCACCTGGTAGTTTCATATAATAAGTTGAGAATTTCTTAAGTGTATGTAATGTGGATAGAAGTATAGGCATGATTTTAGGTAGAATAGATAAGCATGATAGATAATGTTTTTTTTTTCCCTTTGAAAGAAAGTATCAACTAGATAAAAACAACTTTCAGTCTTTCTTTGGATTTCAGTATGTTTTATGGCCCCATGTTATTTCTTCCTTCATGAGCTTAAGGAAAATTATCTTTATGTCACTTGTAATACTTTTTCTTTTTGCTAGAAAAATATCCTTGCTAGTTCTGTATGCCTTAAGTCAAATAGGAATTATGTTCATTTTTAAAGTATAATTGATTTAAAGTGATGGCAGGATAAGCAAGCTGGCCCTTCCAAGAAGGAGTTACAAATATGGGACAAAAGGAAGTTGAATGTCATCATAACTGTTGTCCTCAACACTAATTGAATACTGGTATAGGAAACAAATTTGGTTGGAGAAAAAAATCTGATTTTTTTGTGAATTCAGAGTTAAATCACTGAGCCTATTGTAAAACAGACAGTAATTATTTATCTTGTGTTTGATGGGGATCATCAGAGGGTTGAACAAAATAATAGATTTTTGTCCTAGTGTGGCACATTCCAATTTTATATGAGATTTGCTGATTTTTGGACTTTTTTTTAAACAGAACTGAAGGAGAGAAGCATCTGAAAGTGTCTCCTCTCTTCCTGGTTAGCTAGCTAAAGCTGATGCACTCTGGCTATATCATCAAAGCAAGAAATCACTACTTCTTTTTATTTTTTTTCAAATCCTTTAATTGTTTGAAGTTCTGCTTCTGCAAATAGCTAAAGACTAATTAAAAAAACCAAACGGTGATTCATTCATTTCCTCAGCCAGGGCCACTTTCAGCCTCAGGGCTCAGGATGGCAGCAGCGTGAGGTTAATTCTGGAATCACAAGCTGCTGGAGAACTCTGAGCCTCACTGCACAGAAGAGCAGGCGAGAGCAAGATATTTGATAGGTAGGTGTTTTGAGTGAAGTTTGAGATGGTTTAGACCGGGTGGATTGGAAGGTGATGGTGCATTTTGGTAAAGCCCTGATGTAAACAGTTGGCCATATACTCTAGTTAGCATGGTCAGTATTCACTCTTGAGAAAAAAACAAATCACCAAACATCTTCGGTGTCTTAGTAGTGTTCCAGCAATAGCAGAGGAGAATGATAATTAAGGTGATTAAGATTATGGACTGTGAGTTTAAATTCTAGCTTTACCACCCACTGTCTGTATAACCTTGAAAAGTTATTTCCCTCTCTGAATTAATGTTATATAAGGATTAATAATAATAACTGGCATTTATTGAGTATATAGTATATATGCAGTGCATAATTTATTGGCTTATTCTTGATTTAGCAAATTAGATGTTAGAAGAAAATAGACTTACACTGCAAAAAGATAGGAGGAAAGAATAAAAGAGTGGAATACAATATAAAACAAGACATAGAGTCACAGAAGAGGATGAGAAAAGATGGGAGAGACTTGTTGCTTGGCATTCTAAGAATATTTTATAGCTATAACAACTTTAGTCATCATGAGAACTGTGGAGAAGGTGCTACCCTTACCATGGTCACACAGTTAGGAAATGGTGGAGCTGAGCAGTAAGAACTAAGTCTGCCTTTGGAGTCTACACAGGGAACCAGTTCTATTCTGAGGACTTCTAACCCCCCTATAAACAGGACCCATCATTATCTTAGGTGACTTGCCTGTGATTATGCACCAGCCGGCACAGTCCCTGCCAACCCCAGCTCCAGGTCACAGTCATGTTGTTTCTTGCTTCGTCCAGTGGGAATTAAGAGAGCAGTGGTATTTCCAGCACTTCGCCCAGTGCAGGTCACATGCTCAGATACTATTGTTAGTATATTACCGTGTCCTCTGATTGCTTGTTGGCTGTGTTAGCAATTGCAGGAAGGTGGAAATAACAGTAACATAGCCCACTCCTTGGGCCATGACACCCACATTCTTGTGGGTCTCAAGAAGCATGTCCTTGCCATTGCTAGACCTTCTTTTTGTCTCATGTCCTTCTTTCACTTATTCTCACATTTAGCTGTAATATAGCAGATGAATAAATGCACACACACAAACAGACAGACAGAGACAGAGAGGTGGAGAAAGAGCCACAGATTCTTTGCTGTTTTATTTTTCTTTAACAGGGTTTTAAATTCCAATCAACCTCCATGTGCTTTAGCTGAGGGTGTGCTAGGAAATCCTGAAAGACACAGAAGCATTTATAATAAACATTAGGAGAATTTTTTATAGCTCACATATTTTTATAACCCTCACTTTATCACAACTACTTTTTAAAGTACATATATCAGTCTTCGTAGCCACCACAAGAACCAGACAGGATGAGTGACATCTCCCTGCCTACGTTACAAATGTGGAAACTGAGGCCTAGAGTCCAAGGCCAGTTTATTAGTAAGTGGCAGAGCTGTGACTTGAGCCCAGGTTAGCTCTAGAATCGAAGATTTTAGTGTTCCTCTAACACCGGTACTAACACTCTGCTCAAATTCCTTCTTGCTTATACACCTCATTGATGAAGGAAACAGAAGGTTAAATATATAATTTTAAAGTACAAGGTAAGCTTCATCTCTCTTCTTTTTCTTCTTCAGGGAGGTTCTCAGCATGTTGTCTTAGTTAGGGTTTTATTGGTGTGAAGAGACATCATGACCACGGCAATTCTTATTAAAGGAAAACATTTAAGTGGGGCTAGGTTACAATTCAGAAATTTAGGAAGCAGGCAGTGTATAGGAAGACATGGTGCTGGAGAAGGAGCTGAGAGTTCTCAATTCACAGGCAGCAGAAGGATACTGTGTGCCGTACTGGGCATAGCTTGAGCATGTGAGACTTCAAAGCCCGCCTCTACATTGACACACTTCCTCCTTCAACAAGGCCGCATCTGTTGATAGTACCCTGGCTATGGGCTTATGGGGGCCATTTTATTCAAACCATCACACACGTATATTCCCTATCCTTCTGCCTTAACCTTTAGATGAATGTTAGGATCACAGCTGGAGTAAGTTGCTTCATTCATTAATTTGCTCATTCCTTGCTTCCCTCTTCCACACCTCTCTCATTCCCTTCATTTCTTTCTTCCCCTTTGATTTCTTCCGTTCCTTCCCCCTTTCCTCATTCTCATTTTTCTTCCAAGTAGGGTTTCCTGTAGCCCAGGCTGGCCTCAAACTCACTGTACATATAGTCAAGCCTAGCTTCAAATTCCTGACTTTTTGTTCCCACCTCCTAAATACTGAGATGCATGGTTTAGAGATGAACATGAGAGGACTTAATTCTAAGGAGCCTCCTGAGATTAAGAATACTTTCATTTGGGCTCCATTAAACTGCACTATGACATTTCAATGAAATTATTTCAGTCTGTCATTCAAAGGAAGGTTTTTGAATATACAAACATTCTGGACCTATTCTTTGGAAAAATTCTGTAGAAAGAAGTATCCTGCTGCTCAGAGCCAAGCCCTATCAAATAGGAAGAAGTAGTAGAATTGTATCCCCCTCCGCCTCTCATAATGCTTAGAAGGCAGACATTGTTTACGCACATTACCAGCCACTGACGACATTTCGAAAACCTCATTTGAGCTACTAAGAGATACGTTTTCTAATTTATTGACAAATGATTTAAATATTATTATATATTTAGAAATAAACAATATTATAATTTGTAGTTCTTATATGTTCTTCTTCAGCACAGACATGAAGTTTATTGTGTTTTGGAAGGGGCGAATTTAACATACATTGCTAACAGCAGTCGCAGCCTGCCAGTCCCCCGGCTTCTGATGGGAAGAAGTACAGTCTATAAGGCACTTTCAGGGGAGTCCATGGCCTCCTGTAAGAATTTCCTGAGGATTTTACATAATCGGGAATTTTGCTTATTTATTCGCTTGCTTGTTTATTTATTTATTTGCTTATTTATTCGCTTTACTTATTTTAGGTTTATGGCTCATGATTGTGGAATGGACTGTGTTGCTCTGTAATTTACACATTTTTAAACTTATGTTAAGTTTGAAATATTTTGTGGATCTATTATAATATGACCTATACATTTTACATTTTGAATGGTGGAAAATCTGTGTTTAAAATTTGCCAGCTGGACCCAGTTTAGATGGTCCTAATTTTGTAAGCCAAATTCAAAACATCATAATCAGCAATCAGTCAAACATGCCTTCTCCCTGTCAGTCTTTGACCCCTTTAGCAGCATAGAGTTTCTTCACACCTGTTTGGTCTGGTGCTTATTGGCCTTGACTTCTGCAATGAACACAAGTCTGCTGTCTCTGGTCTTCTTCATGGCTGACTCAGCGGTGGTGGTGGGAACTTGATGAGGGCTTAGAGGTCAAGCTTGTTTCTCTTGGTCTGGTGAGAATATCTGGGCTCCTAGTAGAATGTGAGTCTAGTAGACACCTCCCTAGTATCTGTGAGTAACCGAATGTTAAATGAATGAATTTAGTATCACCGTGAGGGTTCTCAATGAATTTTAAAGCACAAACAACTAACTAAAATCTTTTCACTAGTTTTGGTGTACAACACTCTAGTGTTCCACGGGGCATGAAATAACCACAAATGTGAACATAAGGAAATGATGTTGGTAACAAGAACAGAAGTACGTGAGAAATTAGCAAGAAAAGCATGTGATTTGGATGCTTACTTTACATATATTAACAAGACACTAAATGAAGAAAAAGGAGGAAGGGAGCAGGACGGGAAGAAGAGAAGGAGACCGTGGCTATGAGTGAAAGTGAGAGAAGTAAATATAGAAGTGGGAACCCTGAGCATCATTTCATGACTAAGCGCAAGCCCTGAGCGTGGAGAGAGACGGGGAGGGAGAGTGAAGAGGGGCATTACAGAGATCTATAATTCTGCATGATTGTGGTAATGGTTAAATCATCCCCATGTTTGCCTGGATATTTTCTCCCTGTTTCTACCATCTCTTCTTAGAGAAACCAGGAGCTAACTCCCTCAAAAATTAGCCATGTATGCTGAAGAACAACATGCTGTTTGTTTTCCCCTCACAAAAACTGAAACACAAAATCTTCTGAGTTCATTCAGTGAAAAGTCTGTACGGAAACCTGCAGGGGGGAGGCTAATTCTTTTACCTCCCTTCATCGTCCTGTGGGGAGATTTGTACTCAACCCTGACCCAAATTAGAATGAACAAAAGAAATAGGTTGAAACCTTAATGACTATTAAGGTTTCTTAATGACTATTATTTTGAAACCTTAATGACTATTAAGATAGTACAGAAAATTTAAAAAAGCAAGCATAACAGATATAAGCCTTTTAATTTTGGAAAAATTACGTATTAATGTTATCATTATTGTGTATGGTGTGTCTGTGTCTCTGTGTGCGTATGTGTGCATGTGTGTCAGTCAGAGGACAACTTTTAAAAGTCAGTTCTCTTCTTCTATTGTGGGATCCAAGGGTCAAACTCAAGTCGTCAGGCTTACATGGCAAGTGTTCTCACCACTTGAGCCATCTCACAGCTCCATATGTTTTTGATGATGAGATCTGTACAGTCATACAGTAACACTTAAAGGTGTAGATCAATCTTAAAAGCTTTGTTTCCTTCCCTTCATTTCTCTGTCCCCATGTGAAAGCGCACCCTGTTTACTCTCAGCAAGAGCTGTTTTCTTGCCTTTTAATTTAATTTAACTGATGCCCACATTTTAAACACCGCTTTAAGCCTCTCAGATTAATTAGCATCTTTTTACTTATTTTAGGTTTATGGCTCATTTTTATACATTCTCCATAGCAGATTGCTGGAATTGTGATAACTGAAATAAATTATCTAAAGTTCTTTGCTAAAGCTGAGATTTGTCAACGTCTTAAGCATTCTGTGAAGAAGTGATTAGAAGAATGTTCACCATCACTCCCACTGTCATGCTCCTCCTCCTCACCACTTTTAACACATTAATGATAAAATAGTCTCTCATATTAACTTTTATCATACTGAAATAAAACAAGATCAGTATCTGAGTAGAAGATTATGACACAGAAGTACATAATCATTTTTCTTTTAAAAGTTAAATTGATACATTTAAAAAATAAGCTAGATTTTGTAAATGTTAAATGATGCTTTATCATTTTATCTAACAGGATATAGTGAAATGTTTTCACATTTATGTTAACAAAAAATGCTAAAAGCTAAAGGGGAAAAAGTTCAACAGGTGAAGGAAATCCTATTTCTCCAGTTGGATGGTTTTGGAAATATGTAACAGTCAAAACATTACCCAACAATCATTTATTAGTTGGCTCACTGACTAACTTAAGTTCATGAGATATTCAGTGATTTGGAAAGCTGCTAACAAGTATGTGAACATAAAGGAAAAAAGTATTTTATTACATACTTTCAAAGAAAGAGTTTCTAACAGTAGAAAAGATAGAAACTACTAAAACTATGTTCTAAGAATGTATTTTCTTTTTCAGATTTGAGGAGAAACTGCAGTGGTTATTTGCATACTTATTATCTAATTTGTTCTTTAGAAATGAGTCTCATCTTTTTCCACTTGGCTTATTCATTCTCACCTCCACTTTGCTATGTCTCCTCTGAATTTAATGTTACTAACAGGCTTCTTTCACTTAACATTGTTACGATTATGCTCAGTAGTAGAGAAAAATAAATGTTATATGTGTGACAATCATGTCAATTTATAAACAAAAAAGATTATGTCATAGTTAGATAAATGGCTTTGTTGTTTTCTTTTGTGCTGAAAAGGTAGAATCTCAAGTAGAATTTCTCAATATTTCTGATCAATCATACGTAAATTGAAAAATGATAGTGCCATCCAGCTGTGTATCTCCAGTAAAGCAGTTGCACAGTGATGCCTGTATTATTAGATACATATCAGATGCCCACATTTCAAATCATAACATTTTAGTAAAATTTAATGACAATAGGTGATTGTCATTAATAAAATATTTATACAGAGATGGCAACATATTTGTATACAAAGAATTGATTCTGTCATTATTTTCATTTGCAAATCATTGTCAACAATAAGTCCTGTTGTAGTACTTCAGGATGTAAGAATTAGAAATAAGCACAGAGGTCAAAGGAGCCGTTATGACAAAATGAATGGAATAGGTTTATACCGTAGGAGGAAAAATACTTTAACAGAGAGAGGAAATACATGCTTAAATTAAGACTGATGAAGAAAATACAGAATTTGGGTTATAGATTTGGGGTTTTGTGTAAGTAAGGCAA